CAATATCCACCAGAATTACATCCCTTCATCCCAATTATGTCGCATATAATTGGAAGGCAGTACGGTTTTTTTCCTCCTACAGAGCAAAACAAAATTTGACCGATCACAATGATGTAGATAAATGTGTTAAAACACTGTTTACATTGACAGTTTTTCATGAATGCCTTTTACTCTCCAATTGCTTGTAAGCATTAATGACTTCCTAAAAATCAAACCAAAACATCCTGAGAAAAACTGAATTGAGAACTACTAAGATTGCAATGTTGGTGTCCTGAATTCATTTATAGATAAAGCGAACATGAAGGGTATCTACAGCAGTGTGATTATGGTAACTATTTTCAAATCATTTTCCTGTCACAGTCTTGGGTTCGAATCAGCTAAAAACAGCAACACCAGTGATGGCATGACTTAATAACCAGTCAAACAAGAGAAGAATAAATAAATTCAACCAAATCAAGCACCAAAATTCTTATTGTAATATACATCAAGTAATCAAAGTATAAAATTTCAATTATCTTCCCTTTGCAACATAAATACTTCTTTCATATATCCCAATTAAATACAATAATTGCAATTTATATCCACCCTAAAATTTCTTTAATTATTCTAGTATGTCAAGCAGAAAGTGATTTTTTTCCCTTTCCGATTAACAATCTAGATTGCGAAAATTAATCGTTTTAATTGGAAGGGTAATTTACGACAGGCCTCCGTACTGCTCGATAACAATACATAAAATTGTTGAAAAATTTACATGAACTTTTGACGACACACTGTTTAAGACACCCAGAGACATCACCACAGCATGGTGTACGGGGTGAGTAATTTTTATACTAAAAAACATCCCCAGCATCATCCGTGTTCTTTCTTGATTAAAGACTTATCTCTAAATCAGTAGTTTTATTGTTGGAAATCGAGAAGTGTAAAATTCATTGAACCCCATAAGGAATGTGTACAATTTAATTAAAAAAGTCCCTCGATACCAAATAATATACAATTTTGACTTGAACTCTGGAATTTATTGGTTTTGTTCCTCCGGTTAAATGTAGGTTACATGTTAAACAAAACATCTCCATAGTGGGTGATTACTTTGTACTTTGCTTTAATAAAAATTTGGGGAAAAAATGATACTTATTTGTTAATCTAAGTGAGGGTTAGATGAAATTTTTCAAATCTTTTTTTATAATTCAATCATCATTCTCGGCAGAACTATTTGCAATAAGGTGTGGAGACAGTGACATTATCAAGGTCTTGTCTTTCTAGCTTTACTGGTAGATGAAGACATCAAGGTGCCCCCTCATTTCCAACTCCACTTCCAAAAACTAACCAGGTAACTACTTTGCAACGAAGAGTTTAATGTCTCTTGCAGATTTAAACCAACAGCATAGGGACTTAGAATTCAACCAACGGCAGACTTAAAATAAACTAACCACCTCCGTAACTAAGATACAAAGCTATGAAATGGATACATTACCAGCAAAAATACCTTCCAATAGCATTGTTCACAAAAGTTATATATTTTTCATGCAACTAAGATATCGAAATCATATAAACTCTAGTGTCTTAGGTTTAAAACTTCAACAGCATGTATGCAATGACCCTATGTTTAACTCTGGACTTTTAATTGATATATAATTTATTTCAGTTTGATTGTGTATGAAACTATAAGCTTATAGACACATTCTGTAATATGTTCCTGGAACAAACCAGTACTAAGCAATGAGTGTAAAGTTTCTTACTAAAGGAAACAATGGCTTGACCGTATTTTGGCTTAAATTCAAGCCAGTAATCCCTTCATCTGTTACCCATTCTGCCAGACCGCCTCTCTGAGCTTTTATTCATTGTGTAGACAGAATGAAGCCATGACCAATCTGTATGTGTGATGGAAGAGGAGGTTGAACCACCGAACAAGCCATTGACATAACCAGGAGTGCGGGAGCAAATTAGCCAACAGAAACCAAAATACTCTCCACATTATATGGTGTCACAGACGATCTTCAGTGGATCACAAATGTTATCATGTCTGCTGTAGGGTGAACAAAATGACATTAAACATTATAAACATCTTGTTTCATCATATACATGTAATTTCAAACACATTGGTCAAGTGGCAAAGCTTAGTATAAATTTATGTGTTGGTCGGCTTATACTTAGGTTTGTGGTAATGCATCCCCAAAACATATTTTTTACTCTTAATAATGTCAGAGGTGTGTTTTGGTGTATATTTAGTACAGGGGATTATTAGAAACTGAATGTTAGACAAATAAATGACTTAATTTTTCACTTTCCTAGAAAAAAGTGCAGGCCACAGCCTAGATTGCCTATAGAAAGCTATGCCATTTGTTTTGAACAGTGAAAAATATATTGTAAAATATTCAAGACTTCAACAAAAACTTCTATAATATAAGAAAAAGAATTGCTTCTATATTCTCCAAAAGTCACAACAATACAGTACGCATATTTATTTTAGATCTAAGAGTCTATGACAAATATCTTTGACATTTCACAAACAAACAAGGAAAAAAAATGCTATATTTAATCTGTCATTACTAAACTTAAAATAGCCAGCATTAAACAAAGAGCTTGATCAGATATTTTGCTTTTTTTCCCTCTGTTTTGTTCAGACCAATTAATAAAATTAGAGAGCTACAGTCCCCAGACATTTCTAATTACCCAAGTGTCGTAACCACAATCTACCACCTGCGTTTGTTAATATAAATTTAAATAAGGTATTAAACAAACAATTAACCCAGCGGAGAACACTGTGGTTTTTGTGGTAGTCTCCCTTGTATTAAGTGCTTAAAACTTGAACCTGTGCTCTGAACTCCGCTGAATAAAAAAAAATAATATAGTACCAAATTATTGATAAATTATTTCAAGTACCAAATTATTGATAAATTATTTCACTTATGTACCAGTCATTTAAATGTAACTCTGATTCCTTCCCCTCCAGCAGAAGTACCAGTCTTTAAATGTAACTCTGATTCCTTCCCCTCCAGCAGAAGTACCAGTCTTTAAATGTAACTCTGATTCCTTCCCCTCCAGCAGAAGTACCAGTCTTTAAATGTAACTTTGATTCCTTCCCCTCCAGCAGAAGTACCAGTCTTTAAATGTAACTCTGATTCCTTCCCCTCCAGCAGAAGTACCAGTCTTTAAATGTAACTTTGATTCCTTCCCCTCCAGCAGAAGACTTAATGTATTGGAAATTAACCCTTAACAGGCTAAATACCTTAAATGGACTTGTCCATCTTTCAATCTGGACACAACCATTCATCATTTTTTGAGAATTTTCATAATAAGTACATGTATATGAAAAGCAAACAGTTAAAACATTAGCCTGCTGATCTTGGTCTTCACTGGTTGCGTGGCCACCAGTGGGCAAATGGTCTCTTATACTGTAGTCAGATAGCATTGTTTACAAGTAAGAGTTGTGAGTTCGAGTCTCATATACAATTGACTTTTCTGGAACATTAGCATCTCCAAAACAAACAGGAAGTTAAATGGTATATACATAATTTTTTTTTGAAAGCATTGTAAGTCACAGCAGCACTGTGAAGGTTATAATATTGTGACTTCGAGCTTTATAAATGGAGGATATCCATATGGTTACCCATTGCATTATTTTATGGACATGTGAGTAAAAAATATCAACTTTTCTAAAGCTTGCTAGATTAAGCTTCAGTAGCATAAAAGTATCAAAAGTGTCTGTCAGGATTCAAACAGCAGTGAAGGGCACCATTCATGTCATTAGATCTACCGCTTTGTACACTAAACTACCTTGAATATGTTCCAGTCCAGTTCAATGTCCCAAATGTTCAACATATCAAGCGCTTTCCTCCAAGGACCAATTTCTTACAAGCTGACATGACCTAAATTTCATCTTTACGAAGCTAATTAAAAACTGTTAATTATTTCTGATCTCTCTCTACGAACTAAATTGTAGTGGCGTTAAATTTACCAAGTTTCGCATCACTTACACGTAAAAGAACTAAACCGAAAGGCAATCGTAACAGCATGTCAGAGAAAAATCTCAACCGGTACGGAAATAGAAATTTCTCGCAAATCGGCTTTATTCTTAACTTCAAAAGTTAAAAGTTGCTTGCCTGTAACAAAATGTTAACACTAAAAAATCTCCGAAAACTTTAAATTATTGAGGAGGTCTACAACTGAAAAAAGGAACATCAGTTTAAAAAATGTCCTATCTACTTTGTCCAGATAGGCGACTGAGCTGATTAGACTGGAAGGAAATTAATCTACGAATGTCAAACCACGTGAAGCCATGTTTTGCCGCGTCTAGACAATAAGCCCGTCTTGCATATGTAAATTAAATTTTACTGAAGGAAGGGTACGGTCCCCCATCACGTCGAGCTGTGGTTAATTAATTAGACAATCGGGGGAAATTAATTAAAGTCAACTTGACACCCAAATGTCTGTAAGTTAGTGAACACTGTCGGAAATGGGCATACTGATTCTTCATACTTAAGTAAACAAACGTTTCAGTAAACAGGGCCTCATACATTATTCTTTACAGTTTACACTTCATGTATACTAAGCGAAAGTGGAAAAATAAATTTAAACAGAAAAAAAATCAGTCCCTGCATTATATCTATGCTTCAAAATTATGTAATTAATTTGTCCCCAATAAAATAATAATGAATGCTATTTGTGATGGTTCACCATTGTTAAGACTTATATAAAAAAAATTCTTTAAGTCCCACAGTGGTCAAGTACTCGACTTAAACAGCTATTACTTTAAACTGAGACAAATAATTGGAATTTTGAAGTCTTACATCAATTGGGAAAACGTGATCCTTAATATCAGTTTTTTCTTAAATTTCAACAAGAGGAAACAAAGCTTACAAATAAAGATGTTCTTAAAACACTCTCCATCAACAAGAAAAGGTCTTATATTATTAAGCACTGTCTTAAATGTCAATAAAGTTTAATAAGTTATGACAAATTAACTCCTCCTTTTTTAAATAAATCAAACAAAACATACTTACTAAGTTAACTTTTGTTTCTTTTCTTATCCTCACTTTTTGGGCTCACTTGTTAACAATATCCTAGAAAGAGAAAAAACAATTATAATGAATACAATTCATAAGTAAATAGCAACCACTGCCCCTTCCTCCCCACAGGGAATTACAGGGACTTTGACCTTCACATTTTCGAAACCCTGGAAAACATTCCACCATGCAGGGAATGTCAAATGATGAAATCTTAGCAAAATGCCGTAAAGATGATGAAATCTTAGCAAAATGCCAAATGGTAAAATCTTAGCAAAATGCCCTAAAAATGGTAAAATCTTAGCAAAATGCCCTAAAGATAATACAAGAGCGATCAGTGATCACATGTATCGCCTCATGATGGCCAATTTCATGTTGGGACAAGTTTTGTGACAGACGGACAGACAGACGGACAGTGCGTACTGATCATTCCTGTAAAGTTTGGATAAAATTGCACCAGTAGTTTATGAGTAGTCCGGACAAGCTTTTGTGTATTTGGCAACACTCAGAAAAAAACACCTTTTTATCAAAGGGCCATAAGTCAGCCAAAAATCATTCAACCGGAAAACCCGTGCAATATGCGCAAGAACTTGAGCTACAGATCAATCCTGTAAAGTTTCATTGAAATTGCATTAGTGGTATAAGAGAAGTAGTCCGGACAAACTTTAAAAATAAAAATTATTAAAGGGCCATAACTCTGACAAAAATCATTGAACCGGAAAATGCTGACAATATGCACAACTAGACTTGGTACTTATCATTCCTGTAAAGTTTGGATGAAATTGCACCAGTAGTTAATGAGGAGTAGTCCGGACAAGCTTTTGTGTATCTGGCAACACTCAGAAAAAAACACCTTTTTATCAAAGTGCCATAACTCGGCTAAAAATCATTCAACCTGAAAACCCGTGCAATATGCTCAAGGACTTGAGCTACAGATCAATCCAATAAAGTTTCATTGAAATTGCATTAGTGGTATAAGAGAAGTAGTCCGGACAAACTTTAAAAATAAAAATTATTAAAGGGCAATAACTCTGACAAAAATCATTGAACCGGAAAATGCTGACAATATGCACAACTAGACTTGGTACTGATCATTCCTGTAAAGTTTGGATGAAATTGCACCAGTAGTTTATGAGGAGTAGTCCGGACAAGTTTTGTGACGGACGGACGGACAGACGGACGGACAGACGACGGAGAAGTGATCCCTATATGTCGCCACTACTCCGTAGAGGCGACACAAAATTCTTAGCAAAATGCCCTTATACTCAAGCAGGGACATTATTCTTCATTACTTTAAATACATAACCCTAAACCAACATATTGACAGAATGGAAAGTAAAAAGTTGGCTTATTTACCATACTATCCCCCCAGTACTGCCCTGAGGGTTGATGGGCCAGGCTAACAATAAAATGCTGTCTAAATATCATTCCTGCTCAAATTAGAAGAATTTAGAAAATGTAGTAAACCACTGCATCATTGTTTAACGATTAGTTTAGAAGTACATCAAAACTGCCATTTCATTTGTTGACTTTTCAGCTCTATGGGTGGAAGAAGACTTAAGATGCCCCTATAAGTCTTATTCTAGAGCTATGGAAATAATTCAAGCGGTGGCAGTAAGCCACACTGAATTTACCAGAGCACAGTTCAGCCACCTCATCATTTCTTGACATGCTGTCAAACAGTTTATCAGTACTAGTTGCCTTCACTTCCACATGGAACTGGTAACTTCTGTACATTGGAGAGCAGAGGTACAGTGCGAATGACTGTAGAAAGAATTTCATGATCAATCACAACGAAAGTGACCTGCGCTTACTGGGAATCAAACCATGGTTGCCCAATTCATAGTCCAACACTCTACCTATTGATTTAACTGTATGGCTAGTGCAAATGCAACCACCTAGGTAGCTTTCTTAAATAGCAGTACATCAATGTGCTAATGAATATAAACCACTTGGTCACGTTGGCAGGTATTTGCCAGCACAGCAATTTTGCTAAATTCTCGTTTAAAAACGGACAATAAACACACAGTTTTCTAGTTATATCCAAACAAAACAAATTAAAAGTGTTTCTATTAAATTCATTCAATTTTCTTTAAGTTTTTGGCAGGTGTTTGATTCCTGACTAACTTTAAACATGTCTGCATTAGTAAACATATCCAACAAATTTGTGATATTTTCAAGTTGTAACAATTACTATATAAGACAGTGATAAAGTTTGGTTGATACTGTTCAATAACTATGTCATGTTAATTAGTTAGATGACAGTATTTCCTGTGAAAATTACTTGAATTCTAACAAGGATTAACCAAAGTGTAGCCTTCCTTATTCTAAAAGGTACCTCACTCATTATTTCTCTTCTCTAACAGACTTCAAAATCATTGATCAACTCAATAAAACTTTACTATAACAAACCTTTCTAAATAGTGCACCCAACATTTGTTCAAGACATTTATATTTTTCAAAGAAATAAAGAAAAAAGTAATGTCAAGGATATCAATTGACAAAATGTGTTAAAATGTATACTTAGTTATTATAGTTTGATAGTGTTGGAAGCTATAAACTTATTGAAACACTCTCCAATCTGTTTTTGGAACCAAACAGAACTAAGCAGAAACAATGGCTTGCCCCTGACGGGATTTGAACCCACACGGCCTGCAATCCTTAGATTACTAGTCCAATGTGTTAACCACTTGACCATGCTGCCACAAAATAAAATGCTTTGGCACGAGAGAAAATGATTATTAACAAACTAATTTTATTTACAAACCGGTGTATTAAAGTTAACCTTTATTACTTACAGTGTCTCATTTTCATCTTAGAAATTTAAATCCTAAATGTGACAATTTTGTACAAGTATTTGATCTCAATGATTTAAATAACAAAAAAAATCCCATCGATTGTTGTGAAGGTCATTTTTTATCACATTATTTTATGGGGACAGAACTATCCTTGCATAGGCCCTACTATTTATCAATTTCAAGGGTTAACTAGAAAATTAATACTTATTTCAAAATTCTTAAACATAACCAAAGCAACAATATGATGTCACTTAGCAACAAGTCATGTTACCTCTCTGTATTTGAATCATTATGAACAAAAATTAATACAGTCCCTCCTTCAATATTTTTTAACCGAATGCACTATTCTTGATAATAATTTCAGATGTTTGGCAAAATTACATGTTATTGTCGAAAAAACAGTTAATGTTTTTCCGGTTATCAACAAAATATTTGCTAGAGATTTGAAATTAAACCGAAATTTTCATATGAATTTACAACAAAAAATTATTTATTGAACCTCTGTCCTGTCAAAGAAAGCTCGAGGATTAGCGCCAAAGTTTCTCGTGCGCAATTTTAATTGCAAAATGCGACACGAGTAGAGTGATGAGCTATTATGAAGATCTCGATTAACATGAAAAGATGATAAAATCTGAATATTTCTGTCTTTTCTATGATTCATACGTCAAATCAGTCCATCATCCGAAACTGAAAACACAAAATTATTCTAACTTAATCCAATTGAGAGAGAGCTTCCGTCGCATAATTCTTTGAAGCGAGCAAATGGAATTAATATTGATAGTTTTCTAGAAGGAGTAATTGCACAACAGAAAATATAATCTAAATCTTTATGACATTTACACAAATTTAGGTGAAGTATTCCAAGACTTGACGGCCAAAGGGAAGTTCATTAGTGGCTACCGCAACAAAACAACGCACTCTACAGTTGTTTTGTCGTCGACAATTGAGAACAACTTTGTCGTCTGCTGCAATATTTTTGGGGAAAACAAATCAAACTATTTATATGATTTATATCATTTCTTAAAAGACATTATTCTGCTCTTTTGTAACTTACTGTATTGTATGATGTATTTCTTCTGGTCATGCAAATTAAGATTTACAAAATTAAAAATGACAAAATACGAAAAAGAAGAAAATGTAAGTTACTTTTTACAAAATCATTGGTGCTTCATGTACAATAATTTTGGTACATACTTAGCAATACGCATAATACAAGTCTAGAAAATTTCTACCACTGATAATATAATTCATAAATCATCGGCAAGTCCAAAAAAAATTTTTTAGGCAGAAGAAAAATTTGACATGCTGTAGCAAGTTAAGAAGAGTCACTTAAATCATTTCCCATATAGGCAGACATACAATATTTAAACTGTCATTGAAAACTAGAATCAAGTGTCTGACATTACAACCTTCTTACAAACTTTTCCTTTGAATATTCTGCTAAAACTTCACAAGTTATGAACATTGCCATGCCCTACTTTGAAACAGAAATCTTCCATACTTACTTTAAGGAATATCAACTTATAGGGATATTAGAGAAGGGCTTAAACTAATATTGTAAGAACTTGTTGCCCAACCCATTTTCTCTTGTTATAATATCATCTTTATCAGTTGTATTATTATTCTACATGTATGTTCTGCAACAAAAATTTAAAGAGAAGCATATTGGTACCAAAATAAGGAGTTTTCTCCCTTTATAAGGAAGAGGCTCTATAGCCTCTAAGTCTCTTGATTTTGGGAAAAATAATCGCTTAAATTGCATTTTCCGGGACGAGCAGGACTATTAAATATAAGCCTGTTATATAATGTGATAAAAACCCAAAATAAAACAAGAGGGCCATGATGGCCCTGAAGTCGCTCACCTGTATATAGCGCCCCCCCAACAAACTTGGTAGACACCCATAAGAAGATGTTTCATGCTAAACATCTAAGCTCTAGCTCATTGGGTTTCTTAAAAAAACATTTTTTAAGTTTTTACTATACACATATAGTTAATAAATGACACCCCTGGGGCGGGGCCAGTTTTGACCCCAGGGCTTCTATTTGAACAAGCTTTGTAGACACTTACTAGAAGATGTTTCATGCTAAATATCTAAACTCTAGCTATTTGGGTTTTTCAAAAAAGATTTTTAAGTTTTTGCTATACACATATTAGGAAAATCAATGACCCCCCAGGGTGGGGCCAATTTTGACCCCAGGGCTTTTATTTGAACTTACTTGGTAGACACCCATTAGAACATGTTTCATACTAAATATCTT